ACAGGAAATGCCGAGGGGCGCAGAGACCCTCTGCTCTTCTGCTCCCTTCTTGTGTGCTGCCTGGAGATGGGGAACTCCGAGGGCTGGTGAGCAGGGCTGCCGGGGACTGGGGGGGTCTAAGGAGTCCCTGCAGGGCTGGGCCAGCTCCTCCACTCCCCTTTGTCTTTCCCTCCCACTTCTTTTTCTTTTCTTTTCTTTTTTTCTTTTATTCTCCTTTTGAGAGACCCACTTCTTATTTTCAGCCCCAGTGTCTGTCCCTCTTGCTTCTCCCCCAGACTGGGAGAGGAAATGGAAGCCTCTCCCTCCAAGCCTAGCACGTTGCTCCCAGCAACCGGGCCCAAACAGGCCTGTGGCCGGCCCTGGCTTCCATATCTGGCATCAGAGCTGGGCTGAGCAGGGTGACTCAGCGGGCGGGGTCAACGCCTGGCCCGGTGCCCACCCAGCCCCTTTGCTGTGCTGGTGCCTTTCTTCCCCAAAACAGCCCCAAGGGCCCAGGCCTGCTACAGCCCGGGAGCCAGGCTTCCTTGTCCCACCAGCCACAGTCCCCCAGACCCCTGCCTTGGGTCACGCTTGCAAGTGCCAACTCTCATTTCCACCTTATTCTTTTCCTCTCTGCTCTCCTCCTCTCCCCATCCCCTCTCTTCCCTCTTTCTGAGATCAGATTTGCCAGTGATGGGAAGAGTTAGAAACAGGATGCCCAGCCCTTCTTGCCTCACGAGGCCTCTGGGATGCAGCCACTCCTGTGCTTGGGGAACCTGGAGGATGCAAGGGAAAGGACTGGCGCTCTCCTGGCACGGCACCCGGCCTGGGGCAGGACGCAGGCGAAGCCAGGGTCTCCCCTGTGAGCACTAGAGGATTTCCCGACCCCTGCCCGGGTATTGTGTGCCTGAGCATGAGTCACCTGAGGGGCCCAGGTTCCCACCCTTCCCAGCTCCTCTGGCCTGCCCTACCCTGTCCTCCCTGCCAACCCAGCATGTGCCCAGCTTTCCCGATGCCAACCCCCAGTGGACTGGGCTGCACCACCGCCCTGGGGCTGAATGCCTGGCTAGGGTCTACTTTGGTCCCGGCTCGGTCTGAGGACCCCTCCTAGGAAGGAAATGGCACTGGGGGTGGGGGCAGGAGGACAAGGGAGGAGGGAAGAAAGACACTGAGCTCTACTGTACCCCTGGCCATCTCTTGGGGTGTGCGTGTGGCTCCGTGGCCACAGAGCTCCCGAGGTCTGAGTCATGAGCCCATGGGTGATAGTGGCTTCTTCCCCGAAGATGGGAGCTCCCCACGCCTGAGAAAACCACAAAGGTTCCTTCTCGCTTCCCTCTCTGTTCATGGTTTCTCTCATCTTCAGGGTGTGTCTTAGTCCTTTAATCTCTCTTTGCAGTGCTAGTCAAAACCTCCACGAGGGAAAGAGAAATAGCCCCCTTACTTTCTTTTTTTTTTTGAGATGCAGTCTCGCTCTGTCACCCAGGCCGGAGTGCAGCGGCGCGGTCTCGGCTCACTGCAACCCCCGCCTCCGGGGTTCAAGTGGTCCTCCCACCTCAGCTTCCTAAGTAGCTGGGACTATAGGCGCATGCCACCACACCCAACTATATATATATATATTTAGACAGAGTCTCACTCTGTCACATAGGCTAGAGTGCAGTGGCACAATCTCAGCTCACTACAACCTCCTCTGCCTCCCAAGCTCAAGCAATTCTCATGTCTCAGCCTCCCAAGTATCTGGGACTACAGATGTGAACCACCACGCCCGGCTAATTTTTTTTGTTTTGTTTTGTTTTGTTTTGAGACAGAGTCTTGCTCTGTTGCCCAGGCTGGAGTGCAGTGGTACGATTTTGGCTCACTGCAACCTCTGCCTCCCGGGTTCAGGCGATTCTCCTGCCTCAGCCTCCCTAGCAGCTGGGACTACAGGTGAGTACCACCACGCCCAGCTAATTTTCGTATTTTTAGTAAAGGCAGGGTTTCACCATGTTGGCCAGGCTGGTCTTGAACTCCTGATCTCATGATCTACCCGCCTCAGCCTTCCACAGTGCTGGAATTACAGACGTGAGCCACCACCCCTGGCCAGCCCCCTTACTTGCTTTGGAGACTATATACTGTGGCTTGTGCCAAAGTGGTATTCCATCGATTTCCAGCTCCCGTCTACTTGCTGTGGGACCCTGGACATAGCTTTCCGTGCCTGTTTCCTCAATTGCATAGGAATAGCACCTCTCGCATAGGGTAGCTGTGAAGATGACATGAGTTAACATTGTCATATTTACAGCTGTGCTTGGTACCTAATAAGTTCTGCAAAAGTGTTTGCTATTATATTGTTATCACCACCACCACCACTTTTGTAAGCAGCAGAAAGTGAAGAGGTTAGACTGAAGGAAGAACTTCTGTGCTCGTCAGCCCATAAGCTTGCAGGGCACAGGGACCGGGCATCTCTGTTTTCCTTAGTCAGTGTCTGCCAGGCACTGGCAAGGAAAGCCCGTTACCAGGGGGAACTCCTGGAATTCCTCCTGGCACCTAAGGAGGCTGGGGAGGCAGGACCAGGGAAGAGATGCCCTTGAGACATCTTCCGAAACCATCCGTCGCCTTCCAGCTTCTTTCGGCTCAGGCTGGCTGGTCAGGGGAACGTTTTGGGTCACAGTGTCAGCCCTCTTCCTCCTCCTGGCTTCTCTGTTCTCTCTGGAACTTGTGGCTTAGGAAGGCAGTGAGGTGGAGGAGTGGGAACCCTAGATCAGCAGCCAGAATTGGCCAGAATGCTGCTGCTGGTTTGCAGTAACTGACATCGGGCCATTCAGCTTCCTCCTCTGCACCTCAGTTTCCTCATCTATAACAGGGAGAGGGTTGAGCTGAACCAACTCTAAGCTCCTTCTAGTTCTCTAAATTCTGAGAGCCCCCAGAACAGCCAGCTACAGCTGTTAGCCTTCAGGGTAGTGAGGCCTCTTCTGGGAAGCCCCAGCCAGCCTGGGAGTCGGCCCAAGGAGCTCGGAATCTAAGTCTGCCCCAGCGCTTCACTTTACCAGCGGTTTTGCTTCATTCTCCCTCCTCCCCCTGCAGCTCTTCAGCTTCGGAAAAGTTCTGAAGTCATGGAAAGTTGGGGCTGTGCTCCCAGCCAGGGGCTGGGCCGGATGGCAGCCAAAACCCGAGCTGGGTTTTGACTTTATTTTTAGCTTTTCTGACTGCGACAGAGGAGGGAATACATTCTCTGGTTCTGGAAGGGCCCCTTTTTTGCAGGAGACAGACACTGTTGCATTAACTTGTTCTGAGGTATGGCCAGAGGCCTGGGCTGAGCAAGTGTGCAGGCCTGGGGAGCTCCCTCTGGCTTTTCACGTCCTTCCTCTGCCCCTCTGGGTGTCATTTTATCCTCCTCCCTGCCTGGTAGAGGGAGGTGGAGGCAACTCCTTTTTCTGAACTCTCCTAAGCTGATAGCAGAACACTGCCTGGTCTCGTCCTCCAGAGCTTCTGCAAGTCTAGCCTTTGCTCTCCCTCTCCAGAGTGAATTGCTGGGCCTCTTGGAGTTTAGGGCTTTGTGGCAGGAGAAAAATGTTGGCAGGGCCACCTTTCTCCTTTCCAGGATAGACTTTTCCTCCTGCCCACGTTCGGTTTTCCTTTTTTCCATCTGCTGTGGTGGGCTCGTGCTTAAGCGCTGATGGGTTACAGATGGCAACTGCAGCCGGGTCCCTCGGATCTTTCTCTCTGCTCCCTGGGTCTACCGCTTTCTCACACCCTATGTTTGGGAAGGGATTGTAACGTCTAGACAGTTCTTGTGTTCTCTGGAGGTTTTAAAGAAAATAGTACTCAGGCCGGGCGCGGTGGCTCACGCCTATAATCCCAGCACTTTGGGAGGCTGAGGCGGGTGGATCACCTGAGGTTGGGAGTTCGAGACCAGCCTGACCAACATGGAGAAACCCCATGTCTACTAAAAATACAAAATTAGCTGGGCGTGGTGGCGCATGCCTGTACTCCCAGCTACTCGGGAGGCTGAGGCAGGAGAATCACTTAAACCAGGGAGGCAGAGGTTATGGTGAGCCGAGATCGCGCCATTGCACTCCAGCCTAGGCGACAAGAGAAAACTCCCTCTCAAAAAAAAAGGAGGAAAGAAAATAGGACTCCTTTGTTTCTGTAGCCCAAAGTAATCAAGGACCCAGAGAAGGTGAGAGAGGTGGCAAAGACAGTGCTGTTCCATTGGTTATAGCTAAAGCTTTACCCACTTTGTGGAGCAGGGAGACTTAAAGCTGGGGCCCAGTTGGACCTGGAGGCCTGGGAGCCACATCTGGAGCCAGATGCTAAGGTTATGGTAGATGGGTAGGACTCAGCCTTCTCCCAGGGTGCGCATGAGGCAGGAGGGAGGGAGGCAGGGACCTCTCTGTTCAGTGCAGATCAGGGCACCCAGACTGGGTCCTGAGAAAGGAAAAGATCAATACTGTCCATGGCTGTGCTTGTCCAAGGTCCCTCTGAGCTCTAACCAGACTTTCCTTCCCCACAGTCCCACATGTGTAAAAGGGACTAGGAGAGGCGACCAGCAAGCACCTTTGGGGCTCAGACCAAGAAGCGTTAGGGACATGTGGGACTCACGGCCACAAGCTTAGTTGTCGGGCTTCTTGGAGGGAGGGAAGCTTGGCCAAAGGGAAGTGGGTGGAGTCCAGGGAGAAAGCTAAGGCCCTGTGTGGGAAGGGGCAGGAGACAAAGGTACCCCTGTCTCTTTGGGAAAGAATGGGAGGAGAAAGAGGGAAAAGCATTCATATCACGGCGTAGAGCTCTGCCGTTGGCCCCAGGCACGTTCCTGAACCCTGAGTCATGGGCAGGGTGGAGAAGCAGGAATGGGGTTTTCAGGGACCTTGGGGAGGTAGGAGCCCAGCCCCAGAGGCAAGCAGATGGAAACCAACCTAATGCAAGGATGCCCTCTCCTGGTAGTTGCAGGAACAGCAGCGCCAGTCCCCATGGCTGACCTCTGGGCAGCCTGGCGCTGTCTAGGTATGCAGACTCCTTTTCTTAAACCCACTCTCCCGTCTCTTCTTTAGCAATACCAAGAAGGAGGGTGATCTGCTGGCTGCTCAGGCCCGGCTGAAGGACCTGGAGGCTCTGCTCAACTCCAAGGAGGCCGCACTGAGCACTGCTCTCAGTGAGAAGCGCACGCTGGAGGGCGAGCTGCATGATCTGCGGGGCCAGGTGGCCAAGGTGAGGCCACCCTGCAGGGCCTGGCCATGGCCCCACCTAACACATGTACACTCACTCTTCTACCTAGGGCCTCCCTCAGGAGGTGCCTGGTCTGACCTGTCACCCGATTTCAGAGCCATTCACCTGTCCTAGAGTCATTTCACCCACTGAGGCCACATGTTTTTCTTTTTGAGACAGAGTCTCGCCTGGTCACCAGGCTGGAATGCAATGGTGCCATCTTGACTCACTGAAACCTCCACCTCCCGGGTTCAAGCGATTCTCTTGCCTCAGCCTCCTGAGGCGCTGGGACTACAGGCACATACCATCATGCCCAGCTAATATTATATTTTTAGTAGAGATAGAGTTTCACCACGTTGGTCAGGATGGTCTCAATATCTTGACCTTGTGGTCTGCCCACCTCAGCCTCCCAAAGTGTTGGGATTACAGGCGTGAGCCACCACTCCCGGCATGGCCACATCTTATCCTAATTTGGCCACCCATGGGATCTAGCAGAGTGAATTTAAAATAATTGAGGCCAGGTGTGGTGGCTCATGCCTGTAATGCCAGCCCTTTGGGAGACCAAGGAGGCAGGATTGCTTGAGCCCAGGAGTTTGAGACCAGCCTGGGTAACACAGTGAGACCCCACCTCTAGAAAATAAAAATTTAAAGCAATTGGCTGGGCATGGTGGTGCACACCTACAGTCCCAGCTACTTGGGAGGCTGAGATGGGAGGATGGCCTCCACCTGAGAGGTCGAGGATGCAGTGAGCTGTGATTGCACCACTGCACTCCAGCCTGGGTGACAGAGGGAAACCCTGTCTAGATAAATAAATACATAAAATAAAAGAATCTACAAGCCATTTCTACTTAACTTTGCAATGAACTGTACCCAGCCCTAGATCCCTCCCAGTCTGGCACTCCTATAGACAGCTGTGGTCTCTCTGGAGGAAAGGAGGAGTGGAGTGGATCATCTGTTGAGGCCATTATCAGAAGTGGACGGCTCATTACATATGGGACATGTGTTACCAATGCTTTCTGTATATATAGTGGCCTTTACTTTCAAAACACTCTTCTCCAATTTATCATGTTAAAAGCTAGGAATTGGGCCAGGTGCGGTGGCTCACACCTGTAATCCCAGCACTTTGGGAGGCTGAGGCAGGTGGATCATTAGAGGTCAGGAGTTCAAGACCAGTCTGACCAACATGATGAAACCCCATCTCTACTAACAATACAAAATTAACTGGGCGTGGTGATGCACACCTGTAGTCCCAGCTACTTGGGAAGCTGAGGCAGGAAAATCATTTGAACCCGGGGTCAGAGGTTGCAGTGAGCTGAGATTGTGTCATTGCACTCCAGCCTGGGCAACAAGAATGAAACTCCATCTCAAAAAAAACAAAAAAACTGGGCACAGTGACTCATGCCTGTAATCCCGGCACTTTGGGAGGCGGAGGCGGGTGGATCATCTGAGGATAGGAGTTCAAGACCAGCCTGGCGAAACCCCATCTCTACTAAAATTACAAAAATTACCTGGGTGTGGCGGCAGGCACCTGTAATCCCAGCTACGTGGGAGCCTGAGGCAGGAGAATCGCTTGAACCTGGGAGGTAGATGTTGCAGTGAGCCAAGATCGGGTCACTGTACTCCAGCCCAGGTGACAGAGCGAGACTCTGTCTCAAAAAAATAAAATAATAAATAAATGCTAGGAATCAGAAGCAGTTTGTTCCTAATTTCACAGTCTCATCTGTTCACAGCAGGGCCAGGATTAGAGTCAGTGGCCAAGCTTCCATCCTGGGTGCTCTCTCTTCCCAGGCCCTGCCACCACAGTATAACAGGGAAAGACTCGGAGAAGCCAGCAGGTTGACCACCAGACCAAGGCTGGGCCACCTTCCTCCTGGGTCTGATCTCCTGCCTCCCAGCTCTGCCCTTCCCCCAGCCCTTCCTGGTCAGCCAGTGCTTCCTTGCCTTCTTTTTCTTAGAACATAGACATGTTCTCTCTATGTTGTCCAGGCTGGTCTTGAACTCCTGGCCTCAAGAGATCCTCCTGCCTCAGCCTCCCAAAGTGCTGGGATTATAGGCATGAGCCACCATGCCTAGCCCAGCCTGTGCTTTATTTTTTTTTTTTTTTTTGGTTTTTTTTTGAGACAGAGTGTCACTCTTGTCGCCCAGGCTGGGTGCAATGACATGTTCTTGGCTCGCTGCAACCTCCGCCTCCAGGGTTCAAGCAAGCAATTCTCCTGCCTCAGCCTCCTGAGTAGCTGGGATTACAGGTGCCCACCACCATGCCTGGGTAATTTGTGTATTTTTAGTAGAGACGGGGTTACACCATGTTAGTCAGGTTGGTCTTGAACTCCTGACTTCAGGTGATCTACCTGCCTCTGCCTCCCAAAGTGCTGGGATTGCAGGTGTGAGCCATCGTGCCTGGCTAGCCTGTGCGTTCATAAATGAAAATCTAAGCATGGTACTTCCTTGCTCAAACGTCCTCACATTCTTTTCATGGTAGATAAGGGCATCTCTTCAGCCCTCGCCTACTGACCCAGCCACCTCTCCCATCCCTTCCCACCCCATACTTCAGGCTTCAGCAGCACTGATCTTTCCAAAGACCCCAGAATACATATGCCTTCATACCTCTGTGCCTGTACATGCTTGTTTCTGCCCTTGAAGTCACAACAGTAACTCTCTGTAGGCCCTGCTACCTGAACCTTGGGTCTTAGCCTCTTGGATGCCTTCCCAGAGACCCCCAAAACCACCCCAGGCATACTTTGGTTCCTTCTCTGATGTCGCCTTGGTACTTTGCACATACCTCCTTTATAGCAGTTGCTATGTTGTGCCAGAGAAGGGAGTCCTGTGGCTATGGGGCATATATCTTTTCTTTTGTTTTTTTGAGACAGAGTCTCACTGTCACCCAGGTTGGAGTGCATCCGTGCGATCTCAGCTCATTACAACCTCCGCCTCCTAGGTTCAAGTGATTCTCATGCCTCGGCCTCCTGAGTAGCTGGGACTACAGACGTGTGCCACCACTCCCGGCTACTTTTTTGTGTTAGACATAGCTTTTCTTTCTTAGCACAGTACCTCCCGAGAGGGAGTGAGTGGATGCTCTGACCTCTGCAGCCATCCAAGGCCCTCCTTCCCTGGACCAGTTTCCACATGTATAAAGGGGTGCACGGGCAGCAGCCCACCTCTCAGCTTCCCTCCAGTCCTTGCGTTCTGTGACCCCTTTTCCTGACCTCCGCATGCCTCCTCACAGCTTGAGGCAGCCCTGGGTGAGGCCAAGAAGCAACTTCAGGATGAGATGCTGCGGCGGGTGGATGCTGAGAACAGGCTGCAGACCCTGAAGGAGGAACTGGACTTCCAGAAGAACATCTACAGCGAGGTGGGGACTGTGCTTTGCAGGCCAGAGATGGGTCTGGGTGATGACAGACTCGGGCTGGGGGACCAGCTGCGTGCAGAGCTCACCTTCCTGAGTTCCTTGCCCTAATAGACAGGGAGCTGGGCGTGGCCAGCACCCAGCTCCCAGGTTAAAGTGGGGCTGGCAGTGGCTCATGGGGTAGAGCTGGGCAGGGAGCCCGGCCCCTGGGTCTTGGTCTCCCAGGAACTAATCTTGGTCTCTGGGTCCTTGCTCCCACCCTTCCAGGAGCTGCGTGAAACCAAGCGCCGCCATGAGACCCGGCTGGTGGAGATCGACAACGGGAAGCAGCGTGAGTTTGAGAGCCGGCTGGCCGATGCCCTGCAGGAACTGAGGGCCCAGCATGAGGACCAGGTGGAGCAGTACAAGAAGGAGCTGGAGAAGACTTATTCCGCCAAGGTGCCTGGTCTCCCCTGGTTCCCCCGCTGCCTCTGCCCGCAGCAGCACTACCCTTGCCCACGCTGGGCTGTTCCGCCGGGGGGGATCAGGCAGATGGTGGCAGGGAGCTCAGGGCGGCCCAGGACCCAAGGCTGTGGCAGTGATGCCCAGCTCAGGCCCGTCCCTCCACCCTCCTGGTCATCACAGTCCTAACCTTGTGTCCTCCCCTGCAGCTGGACAATGCCCGGCAGTCTGCTGAGAGGAACAGCAACCTGGTGGGGGCCGCCCACGAGGAGCTGCAGCAGTCGCGCATCCGCATCGACAGCCTGTCCGCCCAGCTCAGCCAGCTCCAGAAGCAGGTGATACCCCACCTCACCCCTCCCTCCAGGGGCCTGGAGTCTGGGCAGGATGCAGGCTGGAAGCTCGGGGCTGGGTTGTTGGGGGGTGTTCCTGAGGAGGACAGGGACGAAACATGTCCCCAGGACCACAGAGAAGGGTCGCGGGATGCGGCGTCAGCTGGCCTGTGTGCTGCTTCTGTACTCTTACCTTGCCTTCACTTCTCAGGGCTTTGATTTTCCCATTCAGAAATGGAGGCTGTTCTTCATCTCCCTAACTCAGAGTTGCCATAAGACTCTGCAATGGGAGGTGTTAAAAGCATCAGTATTATTCTAGCTGGCTGTGCCATCTGTGACAGGAGAGAAAGGGTCTAGCCTCCGAGTGAGAGATTTCAGTTAGACAAGGGGACAAGGGGAAGGACTTCCCAGTTGCCAGCCAAGACTATGTTTAGAGCTTGTGATGGGCTCTGGGGAAGCCTCTGATTGCAGATCCTGGAGAGGGTAGCCATGTCCCTCCTCCTCCATACTTGGGGCCCTTGGGAGCTCACCAAACCCCCACACCCCCTCCTCCCCAGCTGGCCGCCAAGGAGGCGAAGCTTCGAGACCTGGAGGACTCGCTGGCCCGTGAGCGGGACACCAGCCGGCGGCTGCTGGCGGAAAAGGAGCGGGAGATGGCCGAAATGCGGGCAAGGATGCAGCAGCAGCTGGATGAGTACCAGGAGCTGCTGGACATCAAGCTGGCTCTGGACATGGAGATCCATGCCTACCGCAAGCTCCTGGAGGGCGAGGAGGAGAGGTGAGCTGGGGAGGCGTTGCGGAGGTGGTGGCGGTGGCCTCTGGCCGGCCACTGGCCCTGACTAGACCCCCACTTGGCCTCCCTCTCCCTAGGCTACGCCTGTCCCCCAGCCCCACCTCACAGCGCAGCCGCGGCCGTGCTTCCTCCCACTCGTCCCAGACACAGGGTACGGGCAGCGTCACCAAAAAGCGCAAGCTAGAGTCCACCGAGAGCCGCAGCAGCTTCTCGCAGCACGCACGCACTAGTGGGCGCGTGGCTGTGGAGGAGGTGGACGAGGATGGCAAGTTTGTCCGGCTGCGCAACAAGTCCAGCGAGGTAGGCTCCTGATCAGGGTCTCAGGGGACACAGCTGCATCAGGGAGAGAGTGGCAAGACAGAGGGATGACATGTGGAGAGAGGAACATCCCTCCCCTCCGAGGGTGGATCAGGGTGAGCCTGGACATCTCCTCCACACTCTAGTTCCAGGCCTGGCTCCTGGACTCTTTGGCTGTGAGATCTTGAACAGGTTATTTAACCTTTCAGAGTGTCAGTTTCCTCATCCGTAAAATGGGATGAATAATGATCCCTAAGTCTTTGAGTTGTCAGGAAGATGACAGATAAGGTATCCGTGTGCCTGGCACCGTGTATGTGTCCACAGATCATGGCTATTATCCTCGGGGGGAAGGGCAGGGACAGGAGTGGGTGTAGATGGAAGGAGAGACCAAGATACACCCAAGAGCCTGGGTGAGCCTCCCCCACCTTCCTCTTCCCTATCTTCCCGGCAGGACCAGTCCATGGGCAATTGGCAGATCAAGCGCCAGAATGGAGATGATCCCTTGCTGACTTACCGCTTCCCACCGAAGTTCACCCTGAAGGCTGGGCAGGTGGTGACGGTGAGTGGCAGGGCGCTTGGGACTCTGGGGAGGCCTTGGGTGGCGATGGGAGCGCTAGAGTAAGTGTCCTTTTCTAATCCCTCCTCTCCAGATCTGGGCTGCAGGCGCTGGGGCCACCCATAGCCCCCCTACCGACCTGGTGTGGAAGGCACAGAACACCTGGGGCTGCGGGAACAGCCTGCGCACGGCTCTCATCAACTCCACTGGGGAAGTACGTATACCTGGGCCGGGCTGCTTCCTAGATGAGGCTCCCCCTAAAAAAAAAAAAAAAAAAAAAAAAAAAAAAAAAAAAAAAAAAAAAAATTCTAGTGCTCTCTGGTGCAGGCCCCAGACGTCCCCAGCCAGTAGGCAAACCAAAAGATGCTTCCCCAACAGCATGCGGTGTGGAAGTTAGACAGTGAGTGAGGATTGCTGAAGCAGAGTCATACTCTTACCCGGAGTGCTCGACAGTGTCCCTGTGGGGTGGAAATGAGTTCCTTAGCTCCGTCATCGCCGAGGGCAGAGTAAGCAGCAGGCTGGACAAAGGGCAGGCCACAAGGAAAGCTGCAGGTGGTCACCGGGCTACACATGCTGCACACCCCTTCCCTGGCCCTGACCCTCGGGCCTGGTCCCGTGTCCCTGCCAGGAGGTGGCCATGCGCAAGCTGGTGCGCTCAGTGACTGTGGTTGAGGACGACGAGGATGAGGATGGAGATGACCTGCTCCATCACCACCACGTGAGTGGCAGCCGCCGCTGAGGCCGAGCCTGCACTGGGACCACCCAGCCAGGCCTGGGGGCAGCCTCTCCCCAGCCTTCCGTGCCAAAAATCTTTTCATTAAAGAATGTTTTGGAACTTCACTCGCTGGCCTGGCCTTTCTTCTCTCCCCTCCCTATACCTTGAACAGGGAACCCAGGTGTCTGGGTGCCCTACTCTGGTAAGGAAGGGAGTGGGAACTTTCTGATGCCATGGAATATTCCTGTGGGAGCAGTGGACAAGGGTCTGGATTTGTCTCCTGGGAAGGGGACGGGAGGACAGACGTGGGGCATGCCCGCCCTGCCTCTCTCCCCCACTCCTGTTGCATGCATATCCTCTCATTTCCCTCATTTTTCCTGCCAGAATGTTCTCTCTCATTCCTGCCCCCTCTCCAATTAATAGTGCATGCCTGCTGCCCTATAAGCATGCTCCCTTTCTCTCTTCTTTTCCTCTTAAGCTCAGAGTAGATAGAACAGAGCCAGAGTCAGAGTCACCGCTCTGGTTCTCTGTCCGCACGTCTTCCTGAGCTTCCTATTTCTGGCCTTCCTTCCCCTCCTCCCAGCCCCTGGCCTCCCAAACCCCTGTTGCCCGCTGGTACCTTGGGCACAGAACCCCACCTTCCTGCCTGGTGGCTGGAGCCTGCAAGAGCCCAGAGCCTGGGTGTTGGGCCTGAGTGGTCAGTCCCAGACTCGCCGTCGCGCCTGAGCCTTGTCTCCCTCCCCAGGGCTCCCACTGCAGCAGCTCGGGGGACCCCGCTGAGTACAACCTGCGCTCGCGCACCGTGCTGTGCGGGACCTGCGGGCAGCCTGCCGACAAGGCATCTGCCAGCAGCTCAGGAGCCCAGGTGGGCGGATCCATCTCCTCTGGTTCTTCTGCCTCCAGTGTCACGGTCACTCGCAGCTACCGCAGTGTGGGGGGCAGTGGGGGTGGCAGCTTCGGGGACAACCTGGTCACCCGCTCCTACCTCCTGGGCAACTCCAGACCCCGAACCCAGGTGAGTTGTCTCTGCTTTGTCTCCAAAGCCCTGCAGGCGGGTCCTGGTCATCGAGGGGTAGGATGAGGCGGCCTCGCAGGGGGGAGAGCCTGCCTTCTCTTCCGCAGCCCGGGGGAGTGGGAGCCTCCTCCCCACAGCCTGAGGCCTAGACAGCCCACCCCTGCACCCTGCCCCTCTCGTCTGAGCCCCAGACTGGAGGGCAGGGGCAGGGCTGGAGTGTGAGGGATAGGGGAGACACTACCTCCCTCCTAGGGACCAGGGGAAGGGAGGGTCCAGGTCCAGGCCCTGCTGTTCACACCTCTCTCCTCTCTCTTCTCTCTTAGAGCCCCCAGAACTGCACCATCATGTAATCTGGGACCTGCCAGGCAGGGGTGGGGTTGGAGGCATCCTGCTTCCTCCTCACCTCATGCCCACCCCCTGCCCTGCTCCTCATGGGAGGGGGCTTGAAGCCAAAGAAAAATATGCCTTTGGTTTTTTTCTTCTGTATTTTTTTTTCTAAGAGAAGATATTTTCTACAGTGGTTTTATACTGAAGGAAAAACACAAGCCAAAAAAAAAAAAGCATCTATCTCAATCCTAATTTCTCCTCCCTTCCTTTCCCCTGCTTCCAGGAAACTCCACATCTGCCTTAAAACCAAAGAGGGCTTCCTCTAGAAGCCAAGGGAAAGGGGTGCTTTTGTAGAGGCTAGTTTCTGCTTTCCCACCCTGCCTGCCACCCCCATCCCGGGGACCCCGTGACATGGTGCCTGAGAGGCAGGCATGGAGGCCTCTCCGCCAGCCTCCTCTGGATGGCAGGCCCACTGCCAGGCCAGCCTCCGAGAGGGAGAGAGAGGGAGAAGAGAGAGGATGGCTTGAGCCGGCCCCTGGCCCTGGCCTCCCGCGATTCCACTACACCTGGCTGAGCTTCCTCTGCCTGCCCCGCCCCCAGTCCCCACCCTGCCCCCAACCCCGGGGTGATTCCATTCTCCCAGGTACCAGCTGCGCTTGCTTTTCTGTATTTTATTTAGACAAGAGATGGGAATAAGGTGGGAGGTAGAAGAAGGGAGAAGAAAGGTGAGTTTGAGCTGCCTTCCCTAGCTTTAGAGCCTAGGTGGGCTCTGTGCAGTCGCTGGAGGTTGAAGCCAAGTGGGGTGCTGGGAGGAGGGAGAGGGAGGTCACTGGAAGGGGTGAGAGCCTGCTGGCGCCCGCCGCAGAGAAGGAAGGCAAGAGACAGGGTAGAGGGGTGTGGCAGTGGTTTTGTCAAACACTAAAGAACCCTTGCCTCCCCGTTTCCCATCTGCACCCCTTCTCTCCTCCCCAAATCAATACACTAGTTGTTTCTACCCCGGCTGCTGTGGTGTCTTTGTTGGTGGACGGCGCTTTGTGCACTGAGGGCATGCATGCATGCACACACACACACACACACACGACACCACACACACACACATGGTACCCCCCACACACACACACACGACACCACACACACACACACATACACAGACGGCACCCCCCCCCACACACACACGGTACCACACACATACACACACACACACACACACACACAGATGGCACCACACACACACACACACACACATATACACACACACAGACGGCATCACACACACACACACACACAGTACCACACACACACATACACACAGACGGCACCACACACACACACACACACACACACACACACAGCGCCACACAGTCACTGCATCCCCCTCCTCATTGCTGCCCAGCCCTTCACTGCTCCAGAGGAAACAATTAGAGATCAGAGTACTTTGGGTGCCCATCTGGGCACTCGGTGGTAGCTGAGGGGAAAGGCTTTGATATGAGCATCACCACTCGCTGTGTGGCTCTCTCCCAGTGGAAGGCCTTCAGAGAAGCAGAGCCTGAAGAAGGGTGTCTGCTAACTAACTTCCTTTGTCCACCAGCAGTTACTGAGTGCTTTCTCCGTGCTGGGCCCTGAGCGAAGCATGAATGTAAGACATATGATATAGACCCAGTCTGAGGATGGTGACCTTAACAGGACATAGGGACAAGGACACCCCGGGGAGGAGGAACAGAAGCTACAGGAGAGGGCAGAGGAAAGGAACAGTTAATGTCCTTTTGTGCCATGTTGTGCTGAATTTGGGGGATTGGTAAATGAACAAGACAAGATGTCCAGTGTCCTCAGGGAAAGTACACCCCGGTGGGGGTCAGAAAACACTGCAGACAAAGGGAGTAGCCTCAGAGGGTACTCTAACCTGGGGGCCAGACTGAGGGAGGGGTCACAAACAGGAAAAATGAATTATATAAGCCAGCCTTTCTCTGGCCCTTCCTAGTTTCCAAAGCACTTCCGCAGCATCTCATTTGGCCTTCATACTTGAGAGGTAGGTATTGGCTCCTAGGCCACTGGAACTCAGGCCTCTCAGCTTGAAGGTGGCACAGTTCCCAAGATTCTGGAAGTTTATTTATGTTCCCTGGGCAGAGCTGAGCCTGCAGTCAAGAGTCAGTGAGAAAAGGGCATGTCTGGAAAGGATCATGGGAAAGCATGTGAGAAAGCAAAATTACTGAGAGCAGAAGGGCCCCTGAGGTCATGCTGGGCGCTCCTGATTCCACCATGGGCTGAGACCCCACTGTGCCTTTGGGGAAGGGAAGTTCAGAGGAAGGAGGTAGGTCGGGTGCGGTGGCTGACACCCGTAATCCCAGCACTTTGGGAGGCCAAGGCGGGTGGATCACAAGGTCAAAAGCTGGAGACCATCCTGGCTAACATGATGAAACCCCATCTCTACTAAAAATACAAAAAATTAGCTGGGTGTAGTCCTGGCTACTCAGAAGGCTGAGCCAGGAGAATCACTCGAACCTGGGAGGCAGAGGTTGCAGTGAGCCAAGATCGTGCCACTGCACTCCACCTGGGCGACAGAGCAAGACTCCGTGTCAAAAAAAAAAAAAAAAAAGAAGGTTTGAAGAAGGGGTCCCTGTTTGGGTTGGGCAGTTTCAAAGAAGGAAACCCTTCCTCTCCTAGGCCTCAGCAAATACCCTGAGGCCCCACAGATAATGGGGTCTTAGACGTCAGCAAAGGAGTCGCGTGTCTCAAAGCAAAGACGTCCTCCTGCACTTCCTGAGCCGGAGACCTGGGGGCGCCAGAGCCCCATCACAGCGAGTGAGGCGCCCGCACATCCTGGGTGGGGGTCCTTCGCTGCTCGCAGAACCCTGGTGGGCTGACTGCGCGGGCACTGTAGGCTGGGGAACGCGGGGAGCAGCAGGCGACGTTCCCAGCTCTTGAGGAGGGCTGAGGGCATAGGGCCGCAGGCAAATACTGCCCCGAAATCTGGCAGAGCGGCGGGGGCAGCAGCCGGGGACTCAGCAGTTAAGGCATCCGCACACGTGGTCACCTCACATGATGCTCACAGCACAAGTCAGCACCCAGGAGCCGCATTTCATTATGTTAAAAAAAAAAAAAAATGTTGTTAAAATGTAATACACGCTGGGCCTTGCGCGGTGGCGCGCAAGCCTGTAGTCCCAGCGACTCCTGGCCTGAGGCGGGAGGCTTGTTTGAGCCCAGGAGTTCGAGGACAGCCTAGGCAAAAACAACAACAAAATAATACATATCATGTAGTACGTTTCAAAACACAGGGAAGGGCCACGCGCGGTGGCTCACGCCTCTAATCCCAGCACTTTGGGAGGCTGAGGCCTGCGGATCACCTGAGGTCAGGAGTTGGAGACCAGCCTGTCCAAGTGGCAAAACCCCATCTCTACTAAAAATATAAAAATGGCTGGTGTGGTCATGCATGCCTGTAATTCCAGCTGTTCGGGAGGCTGAGACAGGGGGATTGCTTGAATTGGGTGGCAGAGTTTGCAGTGGGCCAAGCACCGGACTGCACTACAGCCTGGGTGACAGAGAGGGACTCCCTCTCAAAAGAAAAAAAAAAAAAAAAGTAAATATATGTTGCCCAGGGCATTAAAAAAATTTTTTTTAATAATTTTTTTTAAATAAAAATTTTTTAAAATCCCCTTCCTTCTTTCTTTCTTTTTTTTTTTTTTGTCTTTTTGAGAATCTTGCTCTGTCACCTAGGCCAGAGTGCAGTGTCTTGATCTTGGCTCACTGAAGCCTCTGCCTCCCAGGTTCAAGCAATTCTCCTGCCTCAGCTGCCTGAGTAGCTGCCATTACAGGCACACGCCACCATGCCTGCCTGATTTTTGGCATTTTTGTTAGAGACAAGGTTTTGCATGTTGTTAGTCTCAAACTCCTGGCCTCAAGTGATCTGCCCATCTCAGCCTCCCAAAATGCTGGAATTACAGGCGTGATCTACCACACCTGGCCTGAAAAGATTATCTTTTTCTTTTCTTTATTTTTGAGATAGAATCTCACTCTGTTGCCCAGGCTGGAGTATAATGGTGTGATCTCAGGTCACTGCAACCTCTGCTTCCTAGGTTGCAATGATTCTCATGCCTCAGACTCCAAAGTAGCTGGGAATAGACATGTACCACCACACCTGGCTTTTTTCTCTCTCTTTTTTTTTTTTTTTTTTTTTTTTTTTTTT